GCTGTTATCACTAGGCATAGTGATAACTGACAAGATGCATTGTAACAGAATGGCTCCTGCAGTCTTCTCTGAGCTTCCACCTTCTGTGATCTCAGTACTGATGATTCTTTATTTGCTTCACCAAGGCTATTCTGCAGCCTTCATCTCCTTTAGGCACTTTTCCACCTAGCTGCCTCAGTGCCTCTCCCATCTCCAACGGTCCCTAAATAGTGTCACCGTACCAATCATATTTTAACAACTGGCCAGCTGCTGGTATACTGGCCTACATGTAACAGCCAATAAATATCAACAGAATGTTCTCTATCACGGTCTATTGGGTTTGATTCTAGTGTCTGGTATAAAAACAACTGGGCCTAACAATAAAACTGCTGAAATCTTGACAGTTGCTTTCTCTGTAACAATAATGCCAACTCTTGGTTGGTTGCCAACTATGGGACATACAATGTTCAGAGAGAAAAGCTGCCAATTGTCTCACCTCTCACAGTTCAAAGTGTATAACATACTGCTATGTGTGATATATATAACACACTCTTTAAGTATTTAATATAGACCAGATTTAAATTATTTAAATTATTTAAAATTATTTATGTTCTCAGGATTTGTAGATTCTTCCCAGTCTCCCATATATATATATATCCCAGTCTCCCACATCTCCTTTCCACCTACTGCAGGTGATGCCGTTCTGTCCCTTCAGCGCTGCCTGGGGACTGTACTGCAATGGATGCAGGAAAATGGGCTGAGGCTGAACCTGGACAAGACGGAGGTCCTGAGGGTGGGTGACTCCACTGTTGGCGGCTTGGGTGACTCCCTCTCATTTGGGGGGGTGACCCCTGCCACAAAAGAGTGGGGTTCGCAGTCTGGGGATCCATCTGGACCCAGCACTCACCATGAAGACTCAGGTGGCGTCAGTGGTCCGCACTGTCTTTTTTCATCTTTGGCGGATAGCTCGGCTGCGACCCTATCTCGATGTGGGGGCGCTCACCACCTTGGTCCATGCACTCGTAATCTCGAGATTAGACCACTGTAACGCGCTCTACGTGGGGCTGCCTTTGAGGCTGATGCGGAAACTCCAAGTGGTGCAGAATGCGGCGGCCAGACTCCTAAGTGGAGCAAGAAAATACCATCAAATTTCTCCTATTCTGGCTGTGTTGCATTGGCTGCCCATTCGGTTCTGCGTTGACTTCAAAGTTCTGATGCTCACATTTAAAGCCCTAAATGGTTTAGGGCCTCGATACTTGGCGGAACGCGTACTCCCACCCAACTCTACCCGTGTCACTCGCGCGAGTCAAGAGCTGAGGCTGAGGAGCCTGATGCTGAGAGAGGCCCGGAAGGAAAAAACAAGAAACCGGGCCTTCTCAGCGGTGGCTTCTTGCCTCTGGAACAACTTACCTCCGGAGATTCGCGCGGCTCCCTTGCTGGGTATTTTCAAGAAACAACTGAAAACATGGATGTTTAGGCAGGCCTTCCCTCCCCACAGTTAACTCCTAATTTTTCTTCCCTCCTCTCTATTAGAACATACTCTGTTTTCTTGCCATCTTGGAGAAAAAACTTTCTTTTCTTTTTTTTTCTAATTTATGAAAATTATGTTATATGTTATGTTATATATATACTTGTTTTATTTGGTGTGTTGTAAGCCGCCTAGAGTGGTCGTAATTTGCCTATCTGCACTTTTGCAAGGTTTGTTAAATATGTCATTTGAAAGGTCTGCTAGATTTTGACATAAAATGGCTGTAGATTCTTCTTAATCTATCTTTATTTTTCCATCCTCTGTGCTATCTGCAGTTATCTGCATAATGAGTAACTCCATATTTGTTGGCTGGAAATAATTATTCCATCTTTTCATTTCATATTTCTTCATGTTACACAGATATGGCAAAGCTCAGAACTGAGGAACAACAGGGCCCATGTTGTCAACAAACACAACATGCAAAAACCAAACTGTCCCTCTCCATCCTGTGCTTCTCCAAAGAAATCATACCAGTTAGATTGAAGCTTCTTTTTTGTCCACAGATGCCTAGCTAAGATTGTGCTCCTCTCATCCCATTTTATATTCTCTGGTAGAGGGGGAGAATCCAATTACAAAACAAGCTTCACCTTAATAAATGTCTGTTGACAAGATGATGGTAAAAATAGAGAAAATATTAATAACTTCTAATCAGTTCTCTTTATTATTAAGGAGAATGCAATTTACAATTTTTGCATAAGCAGGGATTAGATGCTGAGTTTAGTTAGTTATTGGAGCCTAGCAACAAGCTAAAGCCTCATCTGTTACATTTGTTTAATTCTAAAACATGAAGGTAACACTCTAAATGCAAGTATCTTTCATCATATAGCCTATGTAATGGGATGGAATAATTAAAACTGCATCTTTTTCTCTTCACCCTTAATAAGCTTTTTCCCTTAGCAAAGCAGTTTAATTTTAGTTGTGCAAATATAAATATTAACATATAGCATCTGGCAAAGTGCAGTATAAACTTTGATGTGGAAATAATCTCCTACTTAAAATGTTCCAGGCCATAGTTTCATTCTGTTAAACTGTTGTTTGCTAAACTAAGCCTTCAAGAGAGATAGGGTAACAAATAAACCTGATTTTACCAGAGCTCTGCATGACATTTTTAAAAGATAAGAGTGGACACAGGCTAGATAGACAGTACATAAATTGAATGAACAAATAAATAAGTAATTGCTATTTATTTTTTAAGAATATAAAACTCTTGTTAATAATATTCATTGTTTAAAGAATAATGCTAATTGTTAAGTAAAAAGCAGAGTTAGTAATGCCTTTATTGAACTGATATGTTAAATGCTATCAAGATGAAACCAACTTATTTTGACCTAATCAAACGTTCAAGGTGAATGAGATATTTAAAGAGTGGTTTTACCAGTTCTGCAACCCTCCAAATTCCCTAGTGAGGATTTGAATCCAGGGCTCCTGAATTCCATTCCATCATTCTATCCGCTATACTACACAGGGTATGTCTCTTTTGAGCTATCGAAATACAACAGAACAAAGGAAACAAAAAATGGGATGACCACTTTTGTGCCTTTTAAAAATACTTTGATGATCTGATAAAGTTATTGTTCAGTTCTGATTTTTTTAAATTTTATTTAGGACCACATCAGTAAGCTTGTTTTTATTTGCAGTGGAGAATACTAATTACTATTTTTAGCCACTTCTTAATTTAAAGAATATACCTTTAAATGGCCCCTCATTCCACCTCCCATGACACTCAAAAGCAATTTTTGAGAATGGTGAAACGAGAAGTCATTACATTATTTCACAACTCCTTATTTACCTTGCAATTTCTCTCTCTCTCTCTCTCTCTCTCTCTCTTATTTTTATTTATTTATTTTGCATCGTATGCGTACTGATGTTAGCCAGTGTGGCATCTCTGCTGGCAGTTCCTTTTGCCAGCAGATTTCTGAAATCAGCTAGTGCAATTAGTTTTTCATGGCAGAAAGGCAACTGTAATGACAGAAGAAGCTTCTATCCATTCCAAACCCACTAGAGCCACTAAATCTTTGAGTTAGGCTAGCACTGGACATCAAGCAGGGTCTCTGTGTTGTACAATACATGCCAAAATCCTGCTGTGTAGTTATGTTGCCATGATGCTGATGGCATTACATTTTGAAGGAAACTGCATCAAGTTCAGTAATCAGCATAGACATTAGCTATTACTTGCTGAATCATATTGTTCAGTATGCAGCAATGTCCACAATTATTTTCTTAATGTGAAGCAATTAGCCTCTGAAAATTATTTATTTTTATTTATTTATTTTTTCGATTTATATACTGCCCCATAGTGCTTGGAGCACTCTGGGGGCAGTTTGCAACGTAATTAGGAAAGCTGCCTTCACACTTCTGGATGTTGTTTTGAATTGGGATGATTTTTTTGTGGCCCTGCAATCTGAATGATGCACATATTATCATTTGTCTAAGCCAGTGGTTCCCACTCTTTTCAAGTCATAACCCCCTTTTATAAAAGCTAAGTAACCTGCAACCCCACCCCCACTCTAGTTGCATAAAAAGAGGTAAAGTCATCCCTTCTCAGAAAGTAGAGGCTTCTTTCTCCCCCCAAAATACCTGTTTCTCATACATACACACTAACTTTAATATCCCACTTTGAAAGGTCAAGGAAAAAAATTATTAAATGATGACCACAACACATATAAGGTGATCCACTATCCACCAGAAAACACTTTGTAATCCCCTTGGAGGCTACAACCCCCAGGCTGGGAAACATTGGTCTATGAAATGATAAATTACTTCTGTCGTTGTCCTCCATGTGTTATTTTGGGGGAGGGGGGTTTCCCTTCCCACCAGTATTTTATCACACCAAGAGTCCTTAAAACAACTTTTTTTTCGTTCAAGAAATCATTTTTTATTCAAAGGAAAATAATGTACACAAACCTAATTATAGATAGTGTAAAACCGGAAGCAGCATATATTAATTGGTTTAATATGTTGTTTCATATATCCGTGTTAAAACTGTATTATTGTAAATTGGTGCAGCAGTATTTTATATAGGATGCTTGTGTATATAGCTCACATTGAATTCCATCGTGTGCCCATGATGGTGGGATGAATTTTCATTCATTTGTATTATCCAGAATATCTTAAGAAGTCTAGTTGCCAAACTCTACCCACAGGCCCTAACCAAGAGCCATTTTAATGTCTCCAGCAAAAAACTCAAACATGCTTCTCTTTGCTTAAAGAATAAAAGAGATGGGTAATTTGGCTTACTAATCAGTTGTCACTCTGTGCCTTGTGTAAATCCAAAAATATTAATGCAAGTGCCTGGTGTAAAATAACAGCTGTTTTCAAGGGAGTGGTGGTATTAAACTTGTTTCATAGTTGATTATAATTTGATATTTCATGCAAGTCAATTTATATGTAAAAGACAGGAAAACTAAAAGATCACAGGGTTTTTTTGCACATTTTGGTTCTAATATGAATTTCACAAAATATTATTAATACTGTGATAATTTTTCCCTAATAGGCAGATGTATGCAGGAGAAAAAAAGGCTGGTATAGAAGTGCATTGGAAGAAGCTGACAAACTGCTTGCCTGTTCTGTTCAGCAAAGGCTTGATTCATGCTATTTATCAAAAAAAGGTACCATTACATGCTTTTCTGTTTCTATTGTTTCATTATTTGCCTGAGTGTAAAGAGTTTTTCTCCTCTATAATTGTGGCAGAGACCTTTAATAATATATTTAATTGCAAAGTGCTCTGGTGTTTGGACCAGTTGAGACATGGACTGAGTCATGTACCCAGCAGGCTGCATAAGTCTATATCTAAATTTAATTCCTGTTGAAAACAGTGCTGTCAAGGTAGACTTGCAGTTATGATCAGTGCACTGCTTATTTGCATCTTTGGGTGCTCCTATTTACATGTCACTGAAACTACCAACATGAATTTGACCCATCTCTGGGAGGCAGTAGAAGACAGGAGGACCTGACGTGCTCTGATCCATGGGGTCACAAAGAGTCAGTCACGAAAAGTCGGACACGGCTTAACGTTAAACAGCAACAACTTATGTGTATCTGTTGGACAGTAGTTGGATTGCCCTGTGTCTGGATGTCAGCTGAAACCTCAGGAAACTGCTAGACTTCTCCAGACCTTGAGGCAGGGAGTCAGATTTCAGAATGAGCAACGCTGGAATAGGATAAAATGCAATGTTGTAAAGTAGCTTTAAACCACGGGGCAACTATTTCTACCAAATTCCATCTGGTACCAGGGGGTGCTGGCTCAGTATGAAAGTGTTTGTATGAATACTGTACTATGCTTATACAACCTTGATGCATCAAAGAGCAAGGAAGGGGAAGAAGACTAGGGAGGCAGGCACTGAATGCAGGTACTCCTTCCCATTCTACATTTTGAAAGAAGGCTGTTTTTGTTGTTATGTGCTGTCAAGTTGGAACCTACTTAGAGCAACCCTAACATAATTTTCAAGATAAGTGAGATATTTAAGGTTTTACCAGTTCCACTCCCCCAGTCAGTTTCCATGGGCAAATGGGGATTCAAACCCTGTTCTCCAAAGTCCTAGTCCATCTCTCTATCCAGTACAGCACACTGGGATCCTCTTGAAGCAAGCTAGAGAGTGGAATATCAGCATCCTGACTACTGTGCTTTCTTATTGCAAAAACCCTAGGGGAAAAAATCTCCATAGACTGGTGATGAGCCTTCTACTAGCACCAGCACCACGGCTGGAAAAGTTCTCCCATATCACATGTGCTGTCAGTAAGGACTCGTTCAGAGGAGCAGGAGAAGTGTTCAATTGACAGTAGAAGGAATAAGAGGGTTGCTTGAGGTCAGTATGACATTTGGATATGAGGATCGTGCCAAATGGTGTATCGCACCTCCGCCCAACCTCAAGCAACCCTATTTAGAGTCTAAATTTTAGACTGTATCAGCCCACACCAAAAGGGACAGTGCTATTGCACCCTAAGGCTATGCAGGATGTGAGTTCAAATATAAATGATGCAGTTCCTGCAGTGCTGAGTACATTTTGTTGCCTGCTTCTTCACAAAATTTTATTTTTGTCCTCACTCTGGATTGCCATATTACCCAATTAGACAGATTTTACCCACATTCCAAATTGTCTTATTAAGATCCTCGTTTCACAAATGACCCAGAAACACAAACACTTGAGCAGAAACAGTTCAAACCCCACTCCCAACAGTTTCCTGACCCAGTTCTGTATCACAAGGGCACACCGTTGTGATATCACAAGGCAACCACACTCTACCCTACCCTGGTCTCTGATTTTGACCTTAAAGCAGGCCAACCTGGTAATAATCCCATGCATGTGGGTCAGTACATGAAGGTGCCATATTACCTATTACAATATAATTGAGGAACTATTTTTCATTTTCCATATTGCATTTTATTATTACAACATTTAACTTTAAAACAAATAAAAATTAGTTTGTAGACTTATTTTATTTGAAAATAATTATTATCACTCATCTGTTACTCTTACTGGTTTCACAACCTTTTTTAGGCACAATGAAAAATAAAGAAGCTAAAACAAAAATGGACACAATACTGTGCAGTAAAGTGGTAAGATTTACACATATATTCTTACAGTTGTGACTGAACAGCAAATTGCATTGCTTGCAAACTTCTGCTTTCAGCTGCATTGTTTCTAAGCAGTGGTATTACTATTTGCAACAACTGTTTCAATTTCTGTGATAGGAAAATGGACTTTGTTCCAACTTTGTGTCAGTTCCTGTTATTTATATATAAAGCATTTTATAAGGGACCCCAAAGTAATCTACTATAAAATACTAATAGGCAGATTGCTTGATATTGAGACACATACATTTAGACCATAGCACTCATTTTAAAATGTTTACAGTACATAGTAATGTAAAGGTTTTGAGAGCAGGCAGGATAAGACCCTAAATATGAAGATAAATATAGACCGTGTCCACCCACTGCCATTGTAAGTGTCTGGCCCAATCCTATGTGTTGACGTAGCCAACTGTAGTTTGGAAGCTTTCACTTCCACTTTTGTTTAACTCTGGCCTCTTATGGTTTATGGTTAATTTAAAATGGCTTGGAGCCAGAATACCTCAAAGGGCACCTAATCCTGTATGATCTCTCCTAGAATTTCAGTTCTTCTCCAAAGCCCTATTGTGTAACTCCCAAGCCCCCAAACTGCTCTGTAATTCTGATTGTGGAGTCTGGCCCATCAGGCTCTCTCTGTCTTTACTGATTGTCCAAAAAAGCAGTCAAAATTGTGTTACAGTGGTGCCTCGCAAGACAAATTTAATTCTTTCTGCGGTTAATGTTGTCTTGCAAAAAATTCATCTTGCGAAATGCGTTTCCCATAGGAATGCATTGAAATCTAATTAATGTGTTCCTATGAACAAAAAAAGTCAGAACAAAGTCAAATTTGGTTTACAAAGGGTTTATTAAGTGCTCTTTAAGGCCATACATATTGTGCAGATGATTTAAAAAATTTCAGTCAAAAAACTTTAACTTTTTAAACATCATAGAAAAACATTTAAAAATCAGCAAACATGAGGCAGGAACAAAAAACGGAAAACATTCTTCTTGTGAAGCATGGCCAGAGGAACATTTGTCTTGCGAGTCATCAACCTCCATTCCCAAAACCATTTGTCTTGCAAGTTTTTTGTCCTGCGAGGCATTTGTCTTGCGAGGCACCACTGTACTTCGTCATGCCTTTGGCTTTCAAGATTGGAAAGGTTCTTAGTCTGTTCTTAAATAATGTTTTGCTTCTGTTATGGTTTTCTGTTATTGTGCTTTTATTACACATTGGTTTAATAGCCATAGTGGAAAGAAGGCAATATATAACTATGATGTAGGTGGGGTATGTGGAGAAAATCCAGCACATGTATACTAAGCCATATAGCAAATTCAAGTTAATTTTAAAATAAAATGGATTGTAGCCAATCTTGTCATATCACCAATACTGTTTGTGGAAACCCCATTTTCATCCTTGAGCAAGCTTCAAACACAAAAGTTTGGTTCTATTCAGGCAACTCACTGTATAAACACTTTTACAATTCATTAATATGATTTCATTACACTAGTGATACTTTGTGTTACACTAATTATGCTAGTCATTCCACCAGTGTTTATGCACCCCCTAGTAGAATATGCAACCACTTATGGAACAAAAATCACTTATTGTCCTTTTTTTGCTAGCTTGAATTGACTGCACACCATGAAATTCAGCAAACATTCACATACAAACAAAGCTTGCTTCTGTTTCTCAGATAAAACCTTGGGCAAAAGTATGTGAGAAGAAAAATAGCTACAGAAATGGAAGGGGAAAAAAGTAAGTTTAGAATCCAATGTTCAGTTCCTGTATTTGGTTGTTTTAAGCTGCTCCTCTAGTATTCTTTCACTTTGCAATATTGTGCTGCTACACAATTATGTTTCCTGAGATAGTAGGTTAAATTGTGTTATAAGTTTCTGAGCATGAACACAAATCTTTTGTTTTCTGACTAGGAAATGTATATGTGCTCTGATGTCTGGAGCCACACATATTATTTTTCTGTAAAAATATACACTATGCCCTTTGGTAAAAAAATTCAGGGTGGCTTATAAGATGCATGAATCTGCAATAATGGAAACCTCTAAAACAATGGCATCAGTTAGAGCCACTAAAAGCTATTAAAATTGTTATAAGCCATAGAAAACAGGGCTGCTTCCCTGTACATCTAACAAACACCCAATAATAAGAGTTCCATAACTGAGGAACCACTACCAAGAATTCTGTATTCCTAATCACCTCCAAAGGTGGGAGGAATCTGCAGTCAGACTTCTGATGAAAGATCTCATACCTTACACTCTACTCTCAGGCACACTAAAATGGTATCCTCCTCCTGCTTTTCCTCTCCGAGAATAATTTTCAAGGAAGCCATTAAGTCTGTAAGAAACACCCTGAGGGCCTTTCACTAGGCAAAGGAGTCTCTCCAGTTACTATACTCACCACCTTTTGAACCCCAGGCTGGGTGATACCTGGAGCGTGCATGAATTAGTACTATGGGCAAGCTTCTAAGCTAGAATTCCACATGTCTCCTTACATGAGACAGAAATCTCTCCTGATTGTACACTTTGTACTTAGGGCACCAACCAGACAAGGTAGACCACTCAATGACATTTGTGAACGTAGCCTCTGGCTAAGGCACCTTCTTTAGACACTCAAATCCTTTTCCCCCCCAAGGATCACACTTGGATAAAAATATTAAAAAGTTTATTAAAATTATTAAAAAGATATAAAGAATTTTAAAAGCAGGTTGTACAGTTCCAAAACAACGCAAAAGAAACAAGCAATGCATATTCAGATAATTTAGTGAGCCTGACTTCAGGCTTGATATTGTGATGGGAGGGCAGGAGGAGGGCGGAGCTCTGTCTCCTGGGCTGAATTCCTACCTGTTTGGGAACCCCCAGGGGGTTAAAACCACCCCAAAGAGGTGGTGAATTGGGGGAGAAGCCTGTTGATCATGGGGGGATGGCGGTTACTCCTGTTTTGATCTGGGAAACTCCCCAATCAACCAGCGGGTGGAAACAAGCAGCTGAATAGCTTGCTTGCAAGTTGCCGGCAGCTGGCAATAGAGAAGTGATAAATCAGCTAATTAACATTGTCATTACCACTGGGTGAGATAATATTTTATAACTATACTGCTTTATGACTATTCCTGGATGAGACAATTCCCTATAACAGAAATAAGTGTCTCTTATCCCCACCACTTATAGAGCAGCGGTGAATCTAGAGAGAGGGAAGAAGACACAAAGAAAATATATTGGACACTCATTAGACCTTTAATTATACTTCAAGGAAGGAAGTTTGGTGTTACTTTAGTGTTAGAAATGTAAGAAATATTTCTCTTAAAATCACCATTAGCTAAACAACTCTGAGAGTTAAACTTGTTATATTATGGCTATCTACAGCATTGGCAGAAAGCCCAGAACAATGACCTTGAACATTCTATGGCGGTCTTAAGCTTAGAATTTGTTTTGACTTCCCTCTTTTTTTCTGAGAATTGACTGAAACATAGATAAATTAACCCTGGAAAGTCTAATACTGCCAAAGTGGAATTTTTAAACTGTATTTTGCTGAGGTCTAAACAAAGACAATTCATCTTGGAATATATATCTGGCTAATGTGGACCTATATGAATCAATAAAAACATTTGGATGTATCCTGGGCTCTGAACCTTACTGGAACACAGGCCGTGATAGAATTAGTACTGGAATGGACTACTTCCAGAGCTGGATTACAAAAGACATCAGGCCATGAATACAAACATTGAGTGAACTAGACTGTCACTTTACATTTGAGACTAGATTCATATTTAACCCTAAAGATGATTGTTGCAACCCTCCAGCTCCTCTATTTGTTTTTCCCAACTTCCAGATTTGCCTTTGGATGCTACTTATAATTTTCACCTTTTATATGCTACCACCAGAGGATTTTCCTCAGTCTACCAAACTGTAATAATGAATCACAGCTGTCAACATTAACAAGGTTTATTTATAGGATAACAGTTCATTCATACATAGAAATCAAAGATGGTCATTTTATTCATTCAAAATACATTCTTTTGATTTGGGATAGGCTTTGCTTATTTAGATTTTCTTTAATCACGATGTTACTATTTTCATACAGTTTCTTTTATTATAATCACTTTTAATTCACTCAATTCTTTATCACATAAACTTTCCAAGACTTGTCCTATTCATATCTCTTTCAATCTCTCTCTCTATCTCTCTATTACTCTTCTCTTTAACATAGCCACAGCCCTAACTGCCTAAACTGTCCATAACTGTCTTTTTTCTCTCCCTTTATTTCTCTGGTTCCGCCCCTCCTGTCATGTCATAGGCTCCCACATCAGAGCTCTGACTTGACTGACAGGAGTGTTCTGAGAGCTGTCCGTCACAATGATCAAGCTATTAAAGTGGACTTCTTGAAGCAATTATTGATGGAATTGGACTGATTACTTTAAACAACTAAACATCTTTCACTTAGAATACAATTATTTTGCATCTTGGAACATAATGTTACAACAAGGAAATTTTTGGGATGAAACAAAATCTACCGTTCAAGCAATTTTGGAAATAGTGAAATCCCACAACGAAGAGGGAAAATTATTCAATGAGCAGTTGAGTGAGTTCTGAAACCTTTAATGGCATTTATAAATTACAACACAAGCAAAATAGGAGAAGTAAAATTACACAAATTTCACAAATTAGGAGTGAGAAGCAGGGGACAATTTCAGAATTGCAGATAAGAAACCTGCAACAGCAGCAGTCACAGCATTACATTAATCACTGATGAAAATAAAAAGAATTGACTCAGAAGAATTGGAAAAATAGGAGATCCAAGGTTCAAGAAAAAAATTTCAGAAGTGAGAATGAGCAGGGCATTGAAACAGTATATGAACCAGGGTGTCAGGTGTCTCTAAACAAAAAAAGAGTCTTTTTTCACGAGGGATCTTGAGAAATCGACCGGCATGGGTGGCTGAAGGAAAACTATTAAAACAGGCTAACATAAAAGCTCTTCTTAGATGTGGGTTTACTAGGGAATGGAAATATTTGCGAGAATGATCCTGAGATGGAAAAAATCCAACAGAAAGAGGGGAACATACAGAGTTAAGGTTATTGCATAGGTAATTGAATTCGGTGTGACAGAGGTTGTCCTTGATTATGGAATAAGCCCTAGTGAGATTCATATCTACCAAAGATTCCAGGGATATGTGAAGAGAAAAGAGATTATTTTCAATAAACTGGAACCAAGAAAAGGAGTAAGACTCACACAATAAATCATATATCAGGGATCCAGAATGTGAATTTAAAAAGAGACGTAGACAAAATTTAAATGTGAGTAACCAGGCAGTTATGGAAGGTAGGTGAACGCCCAATTCTAAAGAAATAGTAGAAAGCCGAATTAAGTTGGGAACTCCTAATATTCTGCAAAAAAAGTTGCTGCAACTTGATCAATATCCAAATTAACCAAGTGTATCATATAGGAACACCGTATAGCAAGTTAGAAAGAATCTTAGACTGAAAAATCTGGATGGCTGCTGGGATATATTGGTTTCTGGAAGAATAATGAAATTTAGAAATAGCTTTTAATTGGGGAGAAATTTAAGAGATGGCAGGTTTTTAATGAAATGTCCAGCTGAGTTTGCGATGAATATGAAGACCCAGATACTTATAAGAGTGTACTTGACGGTAGGAAGAAGATCCTATTGTCCAAGGGGTAGGGGACAAAGAATGGGGGAAAAACCAAAATTTGGGTTTTATTAGGGTTAATGGATAGATCATTAAGATCATAGAAATCCTGAAATTTAAGTAAAGTGCGACAAAGACCTGAGCTAATACGAGACATCAGCATTTGAAAGGGTTGAGGGATCTATGAGGGACAGATAAGGGATGAGCCTGTGAGAAGGGGAGGGAAAGAAGAGAATAGGAAGGTGATCACTCTCAGTGTGGGTATCTACAAAAAAATTCATTATCGGGGGTAAGAGGTCTGGAGAAGCTAGAACATAATCGATGACACTCAAACCTCTCACTGAACAATGAGTAAACTCACTGGGCATATCACTGCCCGAAGAACCATTTAGGATAAATACATCCAAAGTGGTACATAGATCAATAAAAAAAATGGAGTGTAGCTATTAAAGGAAGGTCCTTGTAAGTCCCTGAAGTAAGAAAACAAGGAGGAGACAGATCTTCTAAGTTTGGTCCAGACTACCAAGGAAAAACTTTGTAGGCTTTTCACCCACTCACAACCCTATTATTGTTCTTAGCTCTGTTAATAGATAGAGTTGTACCACAGTAAATTTCCTTTCTACTGTTTATTTCTGGAGCATGTGTGATGTGCTAACTTGGTATCATTTTCATATGTCTTAGCACAAGCTTTATATTTTTCTGTACCTACTTCTGTTCCATTATACCTGGGCACTCTTAGGGAGTGCCAGTTACAGCAAAGTTCTGCAGTACATGAAGAGCCATTTACTTCCATATGATTTTTACCAGCCATTAAGATCTTTTGAGGACATGTTCAGTACTCCTGCAGTTTCTGAGATATTATGAGTGACAAAGCAGTGCAGAACAGAGTGATCTCGGGTGTGGCATCCTTTCTTTGGAATTCCCCTGCCACTATGTATTTGTCAAATACTTTCTTGATGTGTTTCTTTTTGCAAGCAGTTAAGTATTTTCTTTCTTTTGAGCTTTGAATAGTATCTGAGTATTATTGTTGCTGCTACCATTTAGTTTTTTTAAAATGTGATTTTAGTGGTTTGAATTAATAATCCTTAAGAATAGACCAATTGAAATAAATGAAGCATAAATTAGTTATAACTCACTTATTTCAGTTAGTTTATTCGAAGTATGATGGTGTGTGTATCCAACCCGTTGCATTGGAAGCACTTTAAAAATAGTGTTAGCTACCATAGGAGCCTTCCATCCCACTGACAGGCACATCAGAAATATTCCAATAAGCAAAAAATAAGCATTTCAGTGCAGCCTCTATTGTGTTTTCAGAATGACTGAAATGCTTTTTAACAATTTGATCAAGGAATTGATATTTTTAAGGGGGTTGCTATATTGTAAATAAAAAAGGAAATATGCATAGTATTAATTTCATTTTACATATTCATGGTAATTTACCGTATTTGCCAGCGTATAAGACAACCCCCCAACATTTCCACTCAAAATATAGAGTTCGTTATATACTCGCATGCGTGTTTCTGCTTTGGCTGCCTCATGGGGAGAGTTCGTTTTGCCGTTTTTGGTTCCTTTCGCTGGGAGAGAGCGAGGGTTTACTGGAATAAGGACAACATTGGCTGTCCTTCTGGGTTTGACTGGTTGTTTAAGCGGGTCAGGTAGCTATAATTTGCTTTCATTGGGAGGTTTGCTTTTATTTATTTATTTATTTATTTGTTTGTTTGTTTGTTTGTTTGTTTGTTTATTTAATTTATACCCCGCCTATCTGGCCTAACAGACCACTCTAGGCGGCTTCCAGCATAGGATAAACAATAAAATAAAGCAAAAATTGCATAAATCATACTATAACACACACAATACAAGGATAGAGTAGAAAATAAATAAAAGAAGAGTAAACAGAAAAATCAGGTATTAGCTGGAGGGAAGGCCTGGATGTATAGCCATGTTTTTAATTGACTTTTAAAAGTGCCCAGAGTGGGGGCAGCGCGAATCTCAGAAGGGAGATTAAGGAGTAGCATTTTTTTTCTTTCTTTAAAGTAAGACTTGCTGGCCTGACTTCTCGCTGTGGCACCGCAGTTTTGCTGCCGCACCACGGTGCAAGTGTCATTAAGTGAGCAACAATCAAGAGGGCTGGTCCGTGGGAGTGCGGAAGCCTTTAGCTACCCCCCTTGTTTGTGTGTGTGAGTGCTGTCCTTCTGGGTTTGACTGGTTGTTTAAGTGGGTCGGGTAGCTATAATTTGCTTTCATTGGGGGGTTTGCTTTTAAGGAGTAGCATTTTTCTTTCTTTAAAGTACGTAAGACTTGCTGGCCTGACTTCTCGCTGCGGCGCTGTGGTTTTGCCGCCTCTCCATGACGCAAGTCTTGCTGGCCTGACTTCTCACTGCGGCGTTGTGGTTTTGCCGCCTCTCCATGACGCAAGTGTCGTTAAGTGAGCAACAATCAAAAGGGCTGGTCCGTGGGGGTGCTGAAGCCTTTAGCTACCCCCTTGTTTGTGTGTGAGAGTGTGTGGGTGTGTGTATCTGTGTGTGTATGTGAGTACGTGTGTGTTGCTTTTGAATTTTGAAGTGCACCCAGCATATAAGACGACCCCCCCCCACTTGGAGGCATGTTTTTCAGGGCAAAAAAGTCATCTTATACGCTGGCAAATACGGTATCTTTCTAAATTTTTTAACCTGCATATTAGGAGACTGAATTCTCAAAATTGCTCTCAGACAGTAGTTTAGACCACCAGTCCCCAACCTTTTTTGCCCTGTGGACCAGCTGGGGGATGCAGGGCACCCCCTGCGCTCGTGCACATGCGCAAAGGATGGTGCAGCACTTGTGCAGGTGCTCACTCACTTACTCGTGCACATGTGCAAAGGGCGGAGCAGTGCTTGTGCAGGCGCTTGCTTGATTGCAGGCACAAAGGGCAGCACAGCACTTGTGCAGGTGTGCACACGCTTGTGCGCAGGCGCAAACAGGTTGTGCGGGGAGGGAGTGCATGCAGGAGTGGGGGAGGTCTCTCTCTGCGACCTGGTCCAGCTCAGGCCCCGGACTGGCACCGGGCCACAGACCGGTGGTTGGGGACCTCTGGTTTAGACTATTTTGCAGTTAACTGGAAGCATGGTTAGTAGAGTGATATATGTTGTTGTCCAAGCCCAAGAACAAGGTCCAAGGGTTCCTGGATGAAATAGATTATCTAGTTCCATTTCAGTTTGACTTCTGAGCCAGTTATGGGACTAAGACTGCTTTGTTGCCTTGGTGGATGGCTTTCACTGGGAACTTGACAGGGGGACCGTGTTCCTGTTGGTTTGGCTGGACTTCTCAGTTGCTTAAAGTACCATTGACTATGGTATCCTTCTGGGCCATCTTGCTGGGATGGGACTTGGAGGCACTGTTGTACAGTGGCTCCAGTCCTTCCTAGAAGGGAAAACTCACAAGGTGATAGTGATGGGGCTCCTGTTCAATACCCAGACCATTAAAATATCAAGAGGACAACAGGTAAATTATGGCTACAAACATTCACAAATAAGGAGTTAATGAAGAATTGCTTTCCACAAATACCTGTGAGTTCCTTTTCTGATTCAAATGTAAAGATAGGTAAAGTTAAAGGTTCCCCTTGACATTTAGTCCAGTCATGTCCAACTCGGGGCGCAGTGCTTATCTCTATTTCCAAGCCACAGAGCCAGTGTTTGTCCGAAGACAGTTTCCGTGGTCACGTGGCCGGCGCGACTAGACATGGAACACTGTTACCTTCCCACTGAGATGGTACCTATTTATCTACTCGCATTTACATGCTTTCAAACTGCTAGGTTGGCAGGAGCTGGGACAAGTGACGGGAACTCACTCCGTCGTGTGGATTTGATCTTACGACTGCTGGTCTTCTGACCCTGCAACACAGAGTCTTCTGCGGTTTAACCTGCAGCGCCACCACATCCCACAAGATATAAAGATAGCAGTGTACAAAACATTACAGCTTGGAGTAAAACTCAGTTGTGCCTACAGCATAACAGTATGACAGATAGGCCATGACCAATCATGACACAGTGATTTCAGTGGGCCTGCTAAATCTGGACACAACATTATATGTTTTCAGAGTTGCCAGGTGTGCAATATCCCATTCCCTGAGGCTTCATGGTCAAAACAAGTCATTTTGTATGGTAGTCCCTTGTGACATCACACAGGCAGGTCCAGCAAGAGTTGAACGGGTGGGATTATTTTTGCATGCTTTGACCTGCTGCCACCAGGGCTTGTACAATAAGAAGGTGCTTGAGTCAAACACTGATATTCCCCTACCTTCCTTGCCCCAAGTGACACAATATGCCTAAGATCATGTGGGAAAAGGTGAGGAGTTAGAGGGAGGACTAAAATACATGTGCTTAAGTCCATCATGCCATTTGGAGCAACATACACACAAATATCTTCACAGAGAGCCCATGTGCATCATTGTCAACTGCAGATTGGTAGAAATGGGTGCCTAGACTTTAAAGCCAGTTCACACAGAGGAATGATGTTATCTCTTTCTCCAGTGCTGCTTGTCCAGAGATCTGGCTATCCACCTGGAGAGATGGGAAAGCATGGTAATTCCCTTAGACTTCAGCCTGGCAATTCTGTATCTGCTTATTTTTAATTTAACTATTTGAATAAAAACTTAACCAATCTTTCATTTGTTTCAGTTCATTAAAAAAATCTCTTTCATTTTTTAAAGTAAAAGAATTTCATCATGTTTACTTCAAAAAGGAGCCTCAGAAGATATATTGTCGACAGAAAATCTAGGTTTGTATAAATATGTTTGAGGATCTTTAATCAGGAGAGGTATGAATGGGTGTGTTAAATCATATATATGTAGACTATAGATCATGTATCTTTCCATGTAAAAATAATACTTGTTTCTGAATGAACTATGGAATGATGCTTACCATAAATAAAATACAGTAAAATAAACAAACAAACAGAGTTTTACAGAAATACTTTGTAAAGAATACATAGCCTAAGCATGTGAAATGCTTCCAAAATATAGTTTCAATCCTATGCACATTTATTTGGCTGGAGAATTTCAAGTAGATGTATATAAGATTTGTTGTCAGAGTATTATATTATATTGGCCTATTGATTTTCAGTAGGATTAAAGCATGACTAACATGCTTTACATGAATACATGGCTAACTTTGTTTGGATCTGACTCATCGAAAGCCTCCAGCCAAGTATTTTCTGTTGATTTTAAATCATTTTGAAATAGAACTCTCAGTGTAAAGTTTATCTTCCTTTAGCCACTAGGTAATACTCAAAATTTGGATTCAACTGACCTCTTAACTCAGCACACCATCTAAATAAACCTCTAGCTTCACCTTTTGCTTATCATAAGGAACAGCTCTGAGTTGCAGACCAGCCTTTACATTAGGGAGCAGCCATTACTGTTTTTTGACCCAAAATTCTTTACCAGGTATAACCTGTTACCTACTACACCTAGCAGTGAATAACATATTCAGTCTACAAATCTCTTTTTTGGGACTGAGGCTGCATAGTAGACTCCATGGCTATAACATCTGGTCTGATGGTTGGACATTTCTGTTTCTTTCCCTATCACCTGTTTTTGTACCGCCTAGTATGATGATGAATGCTTGAAGAATAATTTAAATAAATAAATAAATAAACTGAGAGCTTAGAAGTTTGCACATTTCTGTGGCATTTTAGTTACAGTTCTGTTAAAGGTACTGCCTGATTCTTTGGAGGGATTGGTTAGAACCATTAGTGTACTGTTAGCTATTCCAAGGACTTGTGGTGGAGCAATCTGAATGTTCAGTAAATCTGTATGTCCAGTATATGCACATCTTTCTCTAGCCCTTGGATTCCACAGTGTATTAAATAAAACCATAAATAACAAAGCCACTTGCAAAATAACAGACCTTGGTGACCTCGATCACACAGCAGTTAGACATTTTTATTACATATCATATAGGTAATTAATTTTTAAGTGAAATATTATTTGACAGGATGACTAAAATCAATGCACTGGTTTGGGTTACGGGGTAGTGGGCAGTTTTGTTTATCAGTGTAGCCTTCTGTAAGATACACTGAATCATTCCTGATGTCCTACTTGAAATTAAGAGGTGTGAAGTACTTGTGCCTAAGCATTATGTAGTAAAGTGCTTCTCTGCCGTCAGTTTACTTGCTGCCTCATCATGAACTGAGTTAAGGGGTGAACCTTGCTGTACAGAAGGGTGACAAAGAATAAATAGTCATATTGGTTGTTTTTGCACCATGTGGGACTTTTATGATGCTTTATTTGATTGATGAGAGGCTGGTACAGTATACTTGGCATATCTGCAATGTGTTTTAGTTCATAGACTACATTCTTACTTATAAGGCATGTTCCCTCATTCCAAGATTCAACCTTGATCTCATTTACATTTCTTTCCCTGACAATCCAGTGCAGATGCCTCCAAATGCCCTCTCAGTTGCTGCAAATTCAAGCCATTTCTGTACTAGCAGGTTTCAGTTTAACTTCATTGTACATTCCCTGCCTATGTGCCCGAAGAGTGTCATATCCATGCAGCAGACGAGACCTTTTGTGACAAATTCTCATACTATTACATCTGTCACCAGCAATGCAAACATAGAGATCACAGTAGTTATTGCTAGCTATTACTCGAAAATGAGTGCTGGGTTACAATTTTGAAATAAAATGCACACTGTTGCAAGTCTGCAACACATTCTTCTTTGCCTGGTATCAAGAACCAGATTACAGCTGTTCTGACTACAAATACTTTAATAGAAATATACAAGTGACAGAGATAAAAGGGAAAATACATTTACAAGACAAAGGTTAGTCTAGCAATATTTATACTGTAGCATACAGACCTAACCCTATATCAGCATCAACAAGTAGCTGAGAAAAGTAAAAATAACAGTTTACTTGCTCAAAATCCTTGCTTGAAATCTTCATTTTAAACACTATTTCCCCCTTTTGACACATATCTGAGAGCATACTGACTGGCAGAAATGACTAGAAAGGAAAAAATGACATTTTTAGATAACAGTTCTTCAAAAAACTGAGAGAAGCGCCTCCTTAAAGATCTTTTAAAAACAGATGGAGTTGGGTCTTATCAGCACACTGCTGGCACCAGACCACAAAATTCTGGACAGCTACTTTCAGGTTTTTCATGTATATGTGAAATAGTATGGGGAATCATGGAACCCCGAGACACCGCACAGGCTAAAAGTCAAGGTGTTGAAAAGGAGCTCCCCAGCACCACTACCTTTGGTTGCAGAGAACATAATCAATCTGATTTTGGTATTGCCCATCTGGTGATGTCCATGTGAAGAGTCACCTCTTGTGTTGTTGGGAAAAAGTGTTTGTGATGACCAGCTTGTTCTCTTGACAAGACTCTATTAGCTTTTGCCCTGCTTTGTTTTGAACTCCAAGGCCAAACGTCCCTGTTCCTTTTATCTCTTGACTCCCTACTTTAGCACTCCAATCCCCTATAATGACAAGAACATTTTTCTTTGGTGTCAACTCTAGAAGGTGCTGCAAGTCTTCATAAAATTGGTCAATTTCAGTCTTCTCAGTATTGGTGTTTAGTGCATAATCTTGGATTATCGTGATGTTGAAAGGTCTGTCTTAGATCTGTATAGAAATGATTCTCTCATTTTTAAGATTATATCCCATTACAGATTTTCCCATTCTTTTGTTGACTGTGAGGGCTACTCCATTCCTTCTACGGGCTTCTTGCCCACAATATTAGATATGATAATCATCTGAATTGAATTCACCCATTCCTCTCCATTTTAGTTCACTGACACCCAGGATGTCAATGTTTATTCTTGCCATCTCCTGTGTGACCACATCCAGCTTACCAAGGTTCATAGATCGTATTAAAACAAATTCCCTGGCAAATGAGACAGAGAAGGAAAGAAGGAATATTCTTCTCTGATATCGTTACTTCAACAAAATGGAATCTCATACAGATGGCTAACACCAGAAGGTTTATTCTTTAGGATTGATGCACAGAGATACAACATAACATCTCCGATGAAAGCAAGAAACTTCATGGGAAAAAATGAGAAAAATCTGAAAATACAGGGTGAAAGAAAGAAGGAGAGGAAACCAGAAGAAAGATCCCAAGAGAAACCAATGCAATTATCACAATCAGAATCAGATACAGTTAGGAGAACATGAAGTAGCCGAGTCAAGATGTACCAGAAGCATGACAAGGAAAAAACAGAAAGGTAATAATCTACAACAAGATGTCTAGAAAACAAATGAAGATTTTTTTTCAGTCAACATAAATGGTTTAAACTCGCCTCACAAATGGAAAAGGACTTTTCTACAATTGCAGAAACAGAAATCTGACATTATTTGTATTCAAGAAACCCATATGAAAAGAGCAGACTTGAAGCTGCTAGAACAGCCAAAGTTAGGAAAATTATTTGCAGCTTCGGATGGAAGTAAAAAGAAGAAAGACGTGGCTACGTATGTCAAGAAATAATTAGAACCAAAACTGATTTTCGCCTCAGACAATGGAAGGATAGTAATGGTGGAAATTCAAAGAGAATCAAAGAAATTGCTAATCGTTAGTATCTACACACCAAATGGAAATCAAGAAATTTTTTCAAACAATTGCAACTAGAACTGATAAATAAAGACTATGATTACTACTGTGTGATAGGAGACTTCAGTGCTTTGAATTGGGCCCTACAGGCAAATGGCTACTCCAAAAATGAAATCACGAGAGCCATCAAACCAAGAAAACAACACCGAACTGAAGAAGAAAAACAGCCACCCACAAATAAAGTATTTCTGCCATACATCAACGGGGTCACGGACCGCATGGGGAAACTTTTGAAAAAACACAACCTACAAACAGTATTCAAGCCCACCACAAAAATATAACAAATGTTACGGTCAGCAAAGGACAGAAGGGACCCCCTCACCACTGCAGGAGTATACCGGATACCTTGCAGTTGTGGCCAGGTATATATTGGAACCACAAAATGAAGCATCCACACCAGAATCAAAGAACAAGAGAGACACTGCAGACTAAAACAACCAGAAAAATCTGCAGTAGCTGAACATGCCCTAAACAAACTGGACATGAAATTCTATTTCAAAATACTGAAATGCTGGACAACACCAGCAATCATTACGTCAGATTGCACAGGGAAGCCATTGAAATCCACAAGCACCAGCAGAACTTCAACAAAAAAAGGAAACTGTGAAGCTCAACAAAACTTGGCCCCCAGCTCTCAAAAATACAGCGTGCAAAAGGTCAACGAACTCCACCCAGCCACAAGGACAGGGAATTACTACACACAAAAGACCAGCTAATGACACCCATTAACCAAAGTGACAGATAATCTCTTCTCCTTAGCACAACAATACACCCACAACAAGACACACTAATCACCCATTGACAGAAAAAAGACAAAAGCCTATCTCACAGCCATAAATACTGCATTCCCTAGCCAACTACACCAGAGCACAGAGTGCTGTAATCTGAAGATGCTGGCCAGAGACTGGCGAAAAGATTTATTGAAAAAGGACTGTGAGCTAAGGTCTAAAGAAGAGTTAGAAACACAGAATATATACATAGACTGGTGGTTCAGAGCACAACTAGAATCCAGATATAGCAAAGAAAAAATAGAGGGTTTCTATTCAGAACAAACGACATTTGATAAAGCTTTACTAGGCTCAAAAGATAAAATAATTAAGAAAATGTGTGATCATTTGTTAGAAATTAACATGCAAGATGAAATGGTTAAAGAATATATGATTAAGTGGGCACAAAATATAGGACATAATTTTGATATTGATTGGTGATTGCAAATATGGCAAAATAATATAAAGCTCACAAAATCAGTTAACTTTAAAGAGAACATATATAAGATGTTTTACAGATGGCATATGACTCCTGAAAATGTGTCAAATATGTATGCAGATGTATCAAATGTCCGTTGGAAATGTGAAACACATATGGGAAGCTACTATCATATGTGATGGACTTGTAGAGTAGCGAAACAATATTGGATAGAAGTACATACAGTACTGTGTTACAGCAAATATTGCTTTGTAAGGTTCCATTAATCCCAGAACTGTTTTTATTGAGTATGATACCAGATAATATAGATAAAGCAAAGAAATGCATAGTTATATATATAGTTACCGCAGCTAGAATTCTTTGCGCTAAAAATTGGAAATGTCAGCTGGTACCGAAACAAGAAGATCTTACGAAGATGATAGAGGAAGTGGCAGAAATGGACATCTTATGAAAAGTGATGAAGAACTATCAATTACAAAAAGCAACAAAAAGATGGGACTTATTCCAGAACTGGTTAGAGTCATCAGATAGTGCTTGAATAACATAGATCTAAATGTGAACTAAAATATAGAAGGCAGAAAATAGTAGAATAGTAGAGTTTGAATCTTGATACTGCAATATGAATAGAATGGATGTTAGAATATTTTTGTTTCTCCTCCCCCCAACCCAAATCCTTTTTTCTTATAATAATAAAAAGGACAGAGAAGGAGGGAGCTAAACTTTGCTTCCTGACAGTTTCAACTATGTGTATATCCCTATTACACAGTAAAGTCTTTAAAGTGCTAAAGAATAGATACAAACAAGAACTTGTAAAGGTTTTTTGGACTGTAACTCCCAGAATCCCCTAGCCAGCAAGGCTAGTGACACTGCTGGTTAAGGAATCCTGGAAGTAGTAAAAAATAACTTTTCCAAGTTCTGGTAAAAGTAGTGTTGTTAATAATCAGGTTGTTCAGATTTACCCAGCTGAGAGCAATGACTGAACTTTGTTACAGAGGATTAACATCATATTAAAAGAATTTCTCTTTGTATATGAAATCGTAAAAATTTCCCTTCCACTTTGTGGAAGAGTACACTGTGTGTTTTAGCTAAATTAGCAGTAGACATCATGTGCATTTAATATACATGTGATTTTTTTTATTAGTTCTTTCTGAGACAGAAATTATACTGAAAGATTTGGACCAATTTCTTATGCATGTTGCAGACTCCTCCAAGTCATCTTTCAAGTCATACGTGGATGGAAAAGACAACAATGGAAGGGATGAGGTATTAATTATTCAGATACACACTTTTAAAATACAGTACCAGTAGTAATAATCATAATAAACTTCAATAGAATTGTTATTTATCATTAAGAAACATAATTAAAAGTGTTTCTTAAAATGCATTTTAAAAAACTATCCCTATAGCCTTACGGGGATATACATTTGGAAATCGTAACAGTGTTTGAAGAATAAAATTACTAAATATATGTGCATTTCAAAACCTAAATGTACACAAAGCTGCAGCTACTGACAACCTCATTTTGTACTTGTCACAAACGTGCACACACATAGGCAAATTAGCCACCATTTCAATACACATCTATCAAGCCATGTTCTTTATTCAGCACTGGGATCAATGGAATTTACAGCTATTTCTTGATAACCTCAGCCTCAGGTCTCCTCTTTTGGCTATGTTTGGTTGGCATATTTATCTAAGTTACTTAGTCTTGAGTGTGTTTATACTGATTTTTTAAAGGACCTGTCTTTCTTCTAATTCCAGTCACTGAAACAAATTTCTATTTCAAGCCTCTGCTTTTTCTTCTATTCCCTCAGATCTGTTCTGACCCCTGGCTTCTGCTTTTATCCACCAGTGCTCCCTTCTCTCAGAGCCTTGGATCTTAAGCTAGCCACTAGATCTCTCAAATCCTGAGGTAAAAACAGGATTTTTTTTTCTTCAGAGTTGTTCCCTATCTTAGTCCCCCAGATTTGGGTTCAGAAACCCCACCACTAAGCTTTTCCCAAAAGCTCTAGTGGGTAACCTACTTCTTCACCACAGACCTCTGTCTAAAAGGTACCCTTGACTTAAAAAAAATCACTTTAAACTCAGGCTTTAGTGGATTGCTTCATATCCCACCGCTGGACACCAATTGTGACATTTGCCTCTTTGTCGCCCCTGTTTGTCTCCCCAAAACAGAGAGCTCATGAAGGCACACCAAAAAAAAACACCTTTTCAAATGCTGCCACCAGTTGATTTCTTTATCAACTTTCTTTATCAATTTCTTTATAATCACTTTCTTTTGAATAAAACAGATTTATTGATTACAGAAGTTTCTACAGTAATTCATACTTACTTCAGGTTCTACAAGTTACTATTCTATTTAAATCTCTCTCTCTCTCTCTCTCTCTCTCTCTCTCAACTCTACTGTAAACTAAACTCCTTCTCTTTGGCTCCACCTTTTAACATCTCTAGTGGACCCACATCTCAACCACATCAGCATAAAACATGAATAATGCATGACTTATTTAACATAATAAGGGTGAACGCCACAACAGCATTCTGGGATTTTTAAATTTCTTCTTCCCTAGGAAGGGAGGAAGCATGTAGTATAGAATTATTAATTACAATATAATCTCTAAACATTTTCCAAACATGCTATAGCATAAATCTGAAATATCCTACTTATTTGTTTATATAACATTCTACCAAATTTGACCTAGCATATGCATTACACTATCTGCAATCTATGCTGACTGTTCCCAGGTATGCATAGACAGTGCAATGTTATATCCCAGGTTGCAAAGTGGAATCATGTTCCTAGCATAAAATTAAACCACTGAATTATCTTTTGAAATTTGCTTTCTTTGAAAGCCATTCCCACAGAGAAAGTAATGTGGCAACCTTTCAGTATAGATCTGCAATTAGATTTGTGTATTAATTGCATTTATGCATCTCTTTCTTGCAAAGCTCCCTCTCTTCCTCCTGTTCCATTGTGCCCCAAAATTGTATCCAATTTTGGTAAATGCCTTTAGCTGTGCAGCAGAAACGTAGGGATAGATACAGCAGAATAGCTTCAGATTCTCCAGATTAGTCCACCCCTTTTTCTTCCCAGTTGGCACCTACACTCTCAAGAACTTACACTGAGACGTTAGTAAGAGAAAGAACAAGAGATTTCATTACTTACAGTTGAACAGATAACAGCAGGCTAAAAACATGACTGCTTTAAGCAACAGGCCTCAACAGGTTGCAGGCTGCCAACAGACAACTCTTTGAATCAGAGTCAGAAGGTAACTATTGGTTACTGCTGGGTGGATTGACAGTCACCCTAGCGCAGAAATATCCCTCCTAGCCACACCTGGAAGGAAGCATGCAAGGTTGCAAAAACTCCAACAATGTTCCCTTCAGTTATTGGTCTATTAAAAATAACCTGTTCATGACAAGAAAACTAGTGTGGTATAGTGGATAGAGTGACAGACTAGGACTCAGGAGGCCTGGGTTTGAATTCCTGCTTAGCCATGGAAATATGAGAACACACTTTAGGTGAATATGTCTTTGGTTGCCCCCTTTGGAGAGTTCTGCATGGATTCTACCACAAAAGATGACACTGAGGGAATAAAGTGACCCATTGTACTGCACGAAGGTTAAGTCTCAGATTTCACTGGGCCTGCTTTAAGCATGACTTAAGTTCTAGAAAGTAGTTTAACATTCTTATTTGTTAAAAGACACATCTACCTGATCGTTTGCATACTGTGATCTAAAAGCACTTCTGCATTCACATGGGCCACACACATTATTCTTCCTTTGCTAGTGGATTAAGTGAAGTTCTTTTATTGCAAAATTGTGTTTCATAGATTCATAATATGAATATTTCTCTTCTAGGTAGCTAAGTGCTGCATGGCATTTACTGAAAAAAGACCAATGGAAATCAACACTCTGGAGGACAGTATTATAATTGATGGGAAAGCTTTCAAGGCTGAAGAGTGCATTGAGAACATAACAGACAGATTTAAGGAAATAGATTCTTTAATGGCTGAATTCCAAGACAGCTTGTAGCACTGATAAAAGTGAACCTATTGTACTATTTACAGCTTTTGAGTACATCTCTTTCTCACTTACAGCAAGAGATCCTTAACAGCAATCCGACAATATTGTTAGTTTGAAGTTTAACTTATTTTCACAGACTATTTTTTTGTTATCAATAAAAATTGATACCAAGTTTCATTTGTGTTCTGATTTAAAAATAGGATTTAACAACAAGATTATGCACTTTCAGACATTTCGTCCTGATCAGTACATATTTTTGCCTGGTTTAAGCAAATTTACATTTCTTTAAAAAGCAGATTAAAAATAAAAAGCAATTGTAGTTGGGTATAAAGAGATGTTAACCACTTCTTTAACTTCAGAGGATTTTGAAGAAAGTTAATTACAATTCTTTTAGAGCAATTTTAAAAAATACTATACAAATTCAATTTAACAGCTTTAAGTATATGATTTTCTCAAGTATGAACCATTTGTCTCACCTGTACAAACCTAACTAGCCTGAACTCAATCATGGAGAATGAATACTTTTGTCTAAAAAGGATGGCGGGTGTGTTTGTGTCTTTAGTTTTCCTAAATTGCTACCACCAGTAAAATCATCTTTGTTGCAGTGACTTTGGGAAATCAATGATTGGTGCTGTGCCTTCCAATGGCTTCCCCCAAGGAAAGGGATTTCAACCTATGGATATTTTCTTCATACTCCCCAGAATAACAGAAACATCGTCTCTTCACCATCACCAGAATGCTTAGGATGAGAAATAATTTATTAATATATTTAGCTTAATTTAGCATATATTTTTCTCTGATAGAAGTATTGTTATTATGCTCCACTGACCCACTCCAGTGACTTACAGAATGAAGTGTGTTTATTTGGGTGGTGTTTTTGTGATATAAAGCGGTTGGAGCATGATGTTCAGGATTGTCCCTATGTTCTTCCCCTGATTCTCCTCTGACTATTTTTTTAATATATGGGATTCATACTATATCACCTTATCACTAGAACTGATATATTAGTTTAGTGCTAGATCCCCTCCAGATGAGACTTTTTTTAAAAAAAAATCAACAAAACAAAAGCAATCCATACAAAATAAAAGATGTTCCTGTGATATGGGGTATTTCTGTACATGTTAAAAAGAATTTTGGAACATTCCACCTTTTCTGAAACACTGTACAATTCTTTCAAAACCAAGCAGCTTGAACCATGAAATGACCAGCAAAGGCTTTACCACAGGAAGGAAGGAAAGAAGGAGCAGGGTGTTGGTGTTGGTGTTGGCTGAAATGTGAATCACATAAAGTGTGAACACTGAACTCCCAAATCGATTCACAGCCTGTGTATATCACCAACTGCAAATTTAGCCATCATGGAGGCTGCAAATCAGAACAGAGTGATTCAGCTTGCCAGTGTAGTTGCAGCCATAGCGACTCTATTCTCATTGGAGCTATCAATTAGACTTAACTCCACTTGTTTGCTTTCATTCCCTTCCTATCTTATCCACGCTGAATAGAGTTACTGCTGTATTCCCTCTCTCGTGCTGCTGTTCTTGTTGCAGATATGCAAAGGGAAGCATCACAATTATTCTGCCTTCTTTTTTGACTGGGTAAGACAGGCCAAACTGTCAGCTATTCTTTTTATTATGGTAACCCATCTACGTCTGTAGGATTTCCATTATGTAAACATCCACTTAATACTTCTGCTGTGAATTTATAAATATAACAATGAGAAAACGCTAAATTAGCTAGCAAAGATATAGTCTTATCTTAGTTAGATTTCGTCCATAGACCTTTGCCCTTTTTTTAAATTTGGTTGCCCTTGGAAAACGTCTACTGGGACTCTACACCCTCTGAGCAGTATTTCTTGAAGGTAAATGAAATCCAAGTGAATACCGTAAGTTATCCTATGAAGAATGACTAAAAGAACTAGGTATGCTTATCTTAACAAAGAGAAAACCGAGGGGAGACATGATAGCAGTCTTCCAATATCTGAAGGGTTGCCACAGGGAAGAGGGCATCAATTTAGTCTCCATTGTGCCTGAGGGTAGGACAAGAACCAATGGGTGGAAACTTGTCAGAGGGAAATCCAACCTGGAAATAAGGAGGAATTTCCTGACAGTAAGAACCATTAGGGAATGGAACAGCTTGCCTCCCAATGTTGTGGGTGTCCTGTCGCTGGAGGTTTTCAGGAAAGAATTGGACAGCCACCTGTCTGGGCTGGTATGAGGTCTCCTGCCTTGGGTAGGGGCTTGGACAAGAAGACCTCCAAGGTCCCTTACAACCCTAGGACGATTCTATGATCATCAGTTTATTGCTGGTTAAAGGGAACTTATAGAACAGTATTTCACAACCTAGTGCCTTCATATGTGTTTGACAAGAAGTCTCATTATCCACATAGTTTCAGTTTAACACATGTGGAGTGTATGAGATTATAAACAGTGATGCTGAAGACTTCATGTTTCATTCCATTTCATTTTATTATAGTATCCTTGCGGAGACAAAGATGAATGGAGATTACTTTAGTCATCCCTTTCTGACAGTCTTTATTTCATAAATAAACCATTTGTTTACAAAATAGCTGGCAGACTACAAGGCTATTCGTATTAATCTCTCTTTGATGGACTTAAATAAAAATTGCATAAAATGCTTGCTTCTCTTTCGCTATCTTTTAAAAGGGTTGGATCCAGTTTAATAGTTCAGTAGTATTAAGAAAATCTTTAATTATTTGTTAGAAATTAAAATGTAAGACGAGATGGTTAAAGAATATATGATTAAGTGGGCACAAAATATAGGCCATGATATTGATCAATGGTAGCAAATATGGCAAAATAATATAAACCTTACAAAATCGGCTAATTTTAAGGAGAACATATGCAAGATGTTTTACAGATGGCATATGACTCCGGAAAAATTGTCAAAGATTTATACAGATGTGTCAAATATTTGCTGGGAATGTGAAGCACATGATGGAAGTTTTATAATATGCGGTGGACTTGCAGAGTAGCGAAACAATATTGGATAGGAGTGCATACTTTGTTGCAAGTTCCACTAACTCCAGAACTGTTTCTATTGAATATGATACCAGATAACATAGATAAGGTAAAAAGTGCTTAGTTATATATATAGTCACTGCAGCCAGAATTCTTTATGCCAGAAATTGGAAAAGTCTGGTGATACCGAAACAAGAGGAACTTACTGAGAAGATACGGGAAGCGGCAGAAATGGACATTCTAGCAGAAGTGTTGAAAGACTCTCCAATACAAAAGGCAACTGAACAATTGGATTTATTTTATAAATGGTTAGAGTCACCAGATAGTGCTTGAATAACATAGATCAAAACTAGAATGTAAATGTGAATTAAAATCTGGAAGGCAGCGAATAGTAAAAAAGCGGAAAGTTTGAATTTTGATATTGCAATATGAATAGACTGGATGTCAGTATATTTTGTGTTTCTCCTCTCTCCCTCTTTTTCTTCCCTTACCTTCTGTATCCCATACCCTATCCCAAGATATTAAATAATAAAAAATAGTTCATAATTTAATTAATTATAGATTATTTCTGTATCATTTGTCACTATTGGTATTCACTAGAAGTAACATCTTCCTTGAAACGTTTTGCCTGGTTTTGTTTTTTTTATTGTGTCAATTTTCATGAACTGCTGGGTTCATTCATTCATTCATGCATTCATTTTTTCAACTTTTATACTGCCTGATTAGTGCAAGGCACTACTCTGAGCAGTTAAAAAGTAAAAATTATAAAGGTAAAACAATAAACAACATGGAACAAACCCATCAAGAGCATCAAATAATAGTAAGCACATTGTTTTAATAAAATTGGGTGAAACCTTAGTTATGATTACCCTGTATTTATTGGTTTCCCTCTTAAATCCAGAATATTGCACAAATGAAAATGGGCGCATTGAAAAAGCCAACAGAGAAACCTAGCAGTTTGCCCATTTTTCAGATATAGGAAAGCTATAAGAAATGTTGACCTAAACTGAATTGTTAGTCCCAACTACAATACATCAACTGAATCAATGGGACAGCATCTGCATAAATCCCAACAGTGGGGACCTAGCTCTGGCATCAGGAGGCAGCTGGTGTAGCAAGTTGGGGAATAGGTGGATGGGGAAAGGTCAGCAGCATCACTTCTGGGCCTTGAACTCTCCTCTCCTATGAAAACCAGAATCGTGCTTTCTTAAGGCTTTCAGAGGTAGGATTGTTCATGCCTAACTTTCCAGCTTTTGGGTGATGGCAGAGAATTAGTTCCATGGTCTAGAAAAACTTGTTTGGGCTGCATGTTCCTTGCCCCTGATGTGCACAGGTAATATTATCCCGCATCCCCCAATCTGGCATCCTACAGATGTGTAGAACTAGTGTTCACCATTCCTAGTCAGCATATTCAATTCCCATGCTGAAGATGATGACAGCTGTTGTTCAATGCATGGGAAAAGCAGTAGGTTGGAGGAAACGACATTATACCAGTTATTATCTCCCTTAAGCTCTCAATTAGACCTCAGGATTTGACCTTCATTTCCTGGACATTTGATAGTGGCTTAAATACAAGGAAAAGTTTAGATTTCAGGATTTCTAGGGCTACTTTGGGATCCTTTCTTTCTTTCTGGCAGCCGGGAGATCTTGAACTACTGTACTCCCTGTCTAGTGCTGCTGTTCTGAAAAGACCTTGTCTTGCACCATTAGAGAAAAATCTCCAAAGAAGTACTGAATTAGCCTCCAAATGTAGCACCTGAGAAATCTTTCAACATCCCTATGAATATATACACTTAGTTAAGCTAGAATGTGCCTCACTAGTAAACTGAAGGCACTGTCAACTTGATTTCACAGAACCTGTAAGAGAGAATTTTTGGAAACAGTATAAACTGGCTTTGTTATGTGAGAAATCAATAAGGTACAGAGCCACTTGAATCTGCGAGTAATCCCAAATACTTTGCTCCAACAGAGCAGAGATTTCTTTCACAGTACCGAGCCTTGAACTGCAGCTGGATGCTGTAATTTACAATAATG